AACAATTAGTTTAATTCTACAATAGAGAAAACGTGATTGAGTCTATGAAAAATATAGTAAAAGTTAAATCAATTCCAAGCAATTTCATGAAAGAAAATCTAGATCTAGAAGTGTTTGACAATAAAAGTACCAATTTGCATGAATAATTGATGTGAAGTAGCCAAATCCAATGAGTTTCTCCGTAGCTTCACCTAGGAAGTTAGTTCTCCATTGATTTCTTGAGTCAAATTTGAGAGAAAATTGATAGGAGATGAATAATAAACATTCCGGGGTGGAATAGGGTGAAAAAAAATGCTATAACGCATTTCCATAACAGGTTGGATGAATTAAGGAAACTAAATTTTCGGCCAAAATTTATTCTATGTGATTGCTTCTAGTATTTTGGCCATAACTTTCTCTCCCGATTTCCAATTAGGGCAACTCAAAATGCATTGAAAAGATAACACAAAGGGCTAAAAAAAAATTTGATAGCTCTTTCCAAATTTGAAAGTATACTAGGTCAAAAGTTTATCTCAGTCTCCGGGTAAAAATCTAAAAAATCATCATTTGGTTGGAATTTGATTTGTGAATATATTATGTTCATATTTCACTTCTTTTGACTTCTAATTACACCCCATTCACTCCTAGATTTCTCATTCCATCGTCCGTCTTATCTTTAGATTATTTGCAACTTGGTCCTTGAACTTTCATTTTGGTCCTTTTCGCTCTTTTCTTCTAACTTTTACCTTTTCTACCAAAATGATACATAAACCAAAGCATAAATATAATGAGTGCATTTTGGTATCAAATAATCACACGAATGCAATAATTAAGAGGAAAAAATATTATATTTCACATTCTTATCATATCCATTTAAAAAAGATCGAACGAATTTTCCAACCTTTTTTAGCAGCTAAAGCAATTAACAGACTTATTGTTCCATACCTTGCTACCAGACCAAAGGTATCTGAGAAATCAACACCATACTACTATGAATAGCCTTTTACAACCAATCTGGGCTTAAATTTATTAATTGAACCATCTGGATATAGCTTGGTTCTGTATACCCATTTAACCCCAATCATATTGTTATTTATTGTTCTATCAACCAGCATTGAAGTATCATTTTTCTCAATCATGGCCAGCTCCTCCTTCATTGCTACCGTCTAACCTTGTGAACTTGCTGCTTCAAAAAAAATTGGAAGGTTCTAGAATGGCAGAATAGCAGCTAGCAAACACATCTATAAGTGATCTTGTTCTAATCACTGCATTTTTTAAATCTAAACCACTATCAGATTCTGCTTCATCCTCACTAATAATGGCATCTTTTTCTTTTGGGTATTACCCCTTAAATTTGATTCTTATTTACTGAACTTGTCTCCCAATTCCATGAGGATTCTTCATCAACTTTGATATTCCTGCTAGCTGTCGTCTTCTTAGTTTGAGGATTGTAGACTCTGTACCCCTTTAGCATTATCACAATACCTAACCAAAATGCCAACCTCAGCCTTCTGACTTAGCTTAATAAAAATCACGCAGCTTCCATGTTTTCTACAATATGGTCACTCCGACAAGGTCATCAAAAATGTGAAATTGAATTCAAAAAAATTAAAAATTAAAAGAAATGAAACTTGTAAATACAAGAATCACAAAGAAGTGGTAATGAGAAACCTGTGAATCACAAGGAAGTGGTAATGAGTACTTAGTTTTGTGTGTGAAATATAACAAAAAAATTGCTAATTAAAAGAGTAATAAAATGGAAGGCAAACTTTCATCTCAATAACTTCCTCCTGTAAATTATCGTGTGACTATTTTAGATTCCTGCAACTGAATCATCATGCGAATGACATCAAAATAAAGCATAAGTCGGACTCTCTCCAGCATCAACCCTTTTCCTCAAGGTTAAACAACGAAAACTCGAATTCCTCATACCTCTATATGAAGATCACAACATTGGGTTCTTCATTGAAACTTGAAGCTCTAAAAATTCTTTTACCATTATATGGCATTTATCTCTCGAATCAGTTATTATTCGTATCGAACACCAGTGCCAGTTCTTATTGATTCTTCTTCTCAACTGACACCAATTGACTGCAATTATATATAGGTAGTCAACACCTGGATGTTGGTTGAAATCCTTGGCAACAAGTCGAACTTTGTAGCTATCAGTGCTACCATAAGGTAGTCGCTTAGCTTGAAAAAGCCAATTGTACCCTATGATATTCTGGTTAGTTTGGCTAGGAACAAGATCGCAAGTTCTATTTTGAATGAGAGCATTGAGCTCTTCACACATGACTTCTTTCCATTTGGGATTGGTAAGGGCTTGCGAATCAGAGGTATGTTAGAGGGTTTGAGAAAGGGGATGTTTTCGCATGGCAAACGAAAATTTGGTTAATGGTTTAAAATTATTATTTTTGGAACGTGTGAGTATTTGGTGGGTCTTCAACATTATGATGTAAAGGTGAGGGACTGGATGAAGTGCAATCTAACTTTGAGGCACTAGTACTCATAGATGGAGCAAGACATGCCTCGTTTAGAGAAGACGCCAAGTAGAGATCCATTAGAGTGTCACAGCGTATATGGTGTCAAAAAAAGGACTGTTGTATGGAGAAGTTACTGATTGCTTATGAGACGGAAGTTGGTTCATTGAAGAGTAAGGTGTTGTAGTAGAATTTGAGTTGGGGTGGATCTATGATGGTCACTAGGATTCTATAACAGAGAATCAACTGGGATAATACCGTGTGATGAGGTAAGTGAGGACAAACTTGGGGACATGTTTTGGGGAGGGTTTTCAAAGTGGATTGAATTAGGGGAAAGAGAGGTTGATGCCCATTTTGAAAGAGTAAAATTAATCATTGTCACACACATTTAAGGGTGGCAAATGATTTGCAATAAAATAAACATGACTAGGAAAATAGATTTTCTGGTTTGTAGGTTCGAAACAAATATAAGAATTGTGAACGTTTGAATAGCTGAAAAAATACAAGACCGTTGTTCTCATTTGTGTTTGGTGTAAGGTATAAGCNCAAATATAAGAATTGTGAACGTTTGAATAGCTGAAAAAATACAAGACCGTTGTTCTCATTTGTGTTTGGTGTAAGGTATAAGCTACAGATAACAAAGGTATTTAAAAACTCTAAATTTGGAATAGTCTGATAAGTTATTAAATAAACATTCAAATGGAAATTTATTATCAAATATCGATATAGGAAGTCAATTGATAAGATAAACCGCGGCATTCAATGCTTACGACCAAAGGGAGAGAGAAAGATAAGCACGATGTAAGAGTGTAAGGCCTGTCTCAACAATGAAACGATGACGGTATTTAGTGGAAGCCACATGCTGTGGAGTATATGTGGGGAAATAAGTGTTGAATTCCAGAATTTGAAACCATAGTTTTTAAGCCATGATATTCTTTTCCACCATCTGAGTAGATTGTATTTATGGAAGTTTTAAAATACTTCTCAACCATGACTTTGAACTTTGGAAATAAGGAAAAGGCGTTAGATTTATTTGCCACAGAAAAAAACCATATATATTTTGTAAAGTGATCAACAAAAGTGATATAATAAGAGTAACCATCAATTGATCGAATAGGAGATAGACCCCAAACATCTGTGTACAATAAATCTAAAGGACGTCGATTTTTTAAACTTGACACACCTAATGGAAATTTGTGACTTTTATTGCAATGACGAGAATAACAAAAGGGATTTTTGGAAAACTCTAACTCGATTGGACTGAGTTATTATTAGATTGAGATAATTTGATGAAGAACTTTTGATGATGGGTGACCAAGGCGATCATGCCAACTATCAAGGGAAGTCTTGACACCATAACACGTTCGTTTTTTTTTTTTTTTTCACTAACTGGATCTCGCTTATGCTTGGCCACTCGTACACATCATTCTTGCTCCGCCCTTCAGCAAGAGATGCCAGTAGCTAGATCCTTAACACAAAAGGAAGAAGGATAAAATTCAACCGAGGCGTTATTTTCTTTACAAAATTGGGAAACTTAAATCAAATTTTCTTTCATTGATAGAACACATAAAACATTTGAAAGGGAAAATGAATTAGTAGGGGTAGTTATAGAGGATTTTCCAGTATATGTAATACTTGAACCTGTACCATCACCAATTATATTATCGTCGAGTCCTTGATAGGGTTGTCGAGTTACGAGGTTATTTAAATCGGCAGTTACATGGTAAGAGACACTGGTGTTAAGAAGCTATTTTGATGCACAAGCACCACCTGTAGTTGTGTAATTTGCTCTAAGCGGAAGAGGTTGTACAAGTTATCATTTCACAGGATAGCAGTCACTAGCACCATGACTTCTTTTTCCATAATATTGACAGATTATGGTAGAGCCTTTGTTAGAGTTGTTTCCTTGATCGTTGCTGCAATGATTTTGAAAATTCATTTTTTGGCGTTGAAAGAACTTTAAAAATGAATAAACGACTTAATTATAACATTATTGATTGATGACCATAGGTCATGAGCACCCAGCACACATTTATTCTTATTTATAATAAAATGAGTTCAACAACTCTCCATTATTTTGTAGCTAGTGTTTATCCAAAAAATAGATAACTATCAAATAATAAATTAACAACTTTGGATTTACCCTTCGGTTTGAATTTGACAATCTTATCATTCCAAGATTTTCTTATCTCCTCATCACTCCTTTGATCCTCATCATTTATGTTGCCAAGCAGGGATGAATCCAGGATCGAAGTTCAACTAGAGCAAAGTTTGACCATTGACCATTGATCGTCGACAATCAACGATCGTAATAGTTTAGTCATTTATTAAAATTTGATTAAATAACATTAAAAGTTATTCAATATATATATATATATATATATGTTCTTGTCCTGCAGCTGTAGAATCTATTAGTTCAATAAGTCTTTTTATTTTATCAAAATAATTTCTACTTGTAGAGGCGATATCTTTAGAAATGAGATTTTCAAGTGTATTTTTAGAAAAACTAAGTCTGTCTAAACTATTATACAATTTAAGAATCTAATTTTGATATTTACTAATAATTTGTTGAGATGAAGAAATTTGATCTTCAAGGAGTTGTAGTTTTTTTTCTAAAGAATGCTTTCTAAGATTTAAATTTCTAACAACTTTGGTCATAGTTTCACAATTTTCACAAAATTGTATTGATGAAGATGATGATGAAGCTTGAGAGGGGGTTTGCATGGCCTGTCTAATTCTTTCGGAGATATGAAAATTAAATCCTATCATTTCTCTATAAAAACTTAAAACTTCTTCAAGCGTATAAAATCCTTTGAACAGGGGGTCAAGAAATCTTTCTACTTGTTGTAGTACTTCTGGCCAATAATTATATATTTCAAGAATTCTAACTTTAATTACTGCAAAGGAACTAAAATTTTTGCTTTCTACTTGATTATGAATCTGTCTAAAATGGTTAGTAAGGGCATTAATGCTGTCTAATTTTTGTTTAGAGTTACGTATCATCCAGAGATTATCCAGTAGACAATGCTCCTTTTCTGGTAGTCTTTCTAAATTATTTCCTCTAAATCGAAAATTAGATCCTTGAGGAGCCACTCTCAGAGTGATATTCCCAAAGTTCATCATCTTTTGATCCATCTGCACCATGAAGATAATGAGTTAGAAAATTAATAACTTGCCTACTTAAATTATCTGCTAAAATATTATTTTTTCCGTCAATATGTTCTATATTAATTTTATAGATGCTTAATATCTCATATAATTTTAACCATCTTTTACGTCATATCTTATCAAAATTTATCTTTCTAATAAATTTTACAATAGCTTCACAATCTGTCATAATTGTAAATTCAGTGTTCAAAAATAATTTAAAGCTTTCTATACTATGTATGATGGTCATTATTTCATAATCTAAACTAGTTAAATATTTTCCTTTTATCTTTTATTTTTCGCTAGCATATCTACAAATTTTTTCTTCTTTTTTATCAATATATTTATTTGTTTTGGAAAATAAAATTCCTCCCATCCTAATTCACATCCATCTGTTTCTATTATTTTATATTCACTATCTAATGGTGGTAAATTTTTAACTTTTGCTTTTATCTTTTTAACTAATTCTATATTTGATTGATTAAAATATTTTTGTCCTTTACTAGATAATTTACTATACAGTGGTCCTACTTTCCTTCCTAAATCTTTAATAAAATGTCTAACATAATTTAATATTCCTAAAAAGGCTTGTAATTTCTTGATTTCTTTAATTTTGTCTGAAAATTATAAAATTGTCTGTACTATATGTGGTTGTAACTGAATCTTTCCCTCTTCTAAAATTATTCCTAAAAATTTATTTTTTTGTTTATTTATTTCCATCTTCTTTTTACTTATAATTAAACTATTTTCTATAAATTTATTCAAGATTATCTCTAGATGTTTCATATGTTTTTTATAGTTTTTACTATGTACTAAAATATCATCTATATATACACACAAACAAATGGAAGAGAATTAAATATACTATCCATCTTTCTTTGAAAAATAGAGGGTGCATTTTTTAATCCAAAAGGCATGACTAATCATTCAAAGTATCCTAATAGAGTAGTAAAAGTTGTCTAAGGAATAGATTCTTTTGCCATTTTTATTTGCCAAAATCCAGATTTACAGTCGAATTTAGAAAGTATCTTGCTATTTTGTATTTTATTTATTAGCATATCCTTATCTGGTATCTTATATATATCTTCTACAGTATTATCGTTTAATCTTTTATAGTTTATAACCATTCTTGCTTTTTCTCTTTTTATTTCTCTATGATTTCTAACCATAAAGGCTGCTGATCTGTGTTGACTGCTAGACGGTCTTATTACTTTTAAGTCCAATAATTCTTTAATCTATATGTTAAAATCTTCTATATCTTGATTCGTATGTTTTATTTCTATTGTTCTAATTTTTATATTTTCATTTATTATTTCTAATTTAGCTTCTATTTTATTTTTATCCCAATGTTTTATAGGATCTTCTCCTATTATTTGGATTTTTTCAGCTAATTCTAAAATTTTGTCTATATTATCTATCTTAGAAGATGTCTTGTTAAAAATTATTAATTCTTTATTTCTTGGTATAGAATCTATTTTTAAAGTTTCTAAAGATAAATTATCTAAAAATTCTGAGTTTTCTAGATTTTCTTCAATTTCTGGGTCTGGTTCTGGTTGTAAGGGTCCACCACGCTTAGCTTGCAACTCTGATGATTCTATAGTATTAATAATAGAAGTGTCTTTTCCAAAAATTATAACATCATGAGTAATTGTTAAACTTCTGTTTCTACTAAACAAGAATTTTATTCCTATAACAAATTCATCTTTTATCAATCCGCTAACTAATGTAGTCATTAAACTATACTGTCTTTCTTGGAATTTAATCTTACAATCATCAAAAAGTCTCTCTTCGAATCCCATTTTACTACCATCCATTTGACTTCCTCTTATTTCATATTCTAATTTCTATCTACAATCTTCTGGCTCTAAATCTTTTCTGATTATATCAAATGTACAACCTGTATCTATTGATGCTATCAAATTTAATTTTATTATTTTGTTTATCTGTACTTCTATAGGCATTCTGATACTTTTTGTTGTCTTTACTCTAGATATTTGACAAATTATTTCTTCATGATTTTCTGTTTCCAAATAATTATTTTCTGTGTAATTATTTATAGGCTGTTTTCCTTTTGTTTCTAGATTTCTGATCCTGTATTGTATTTCTTCTAATGTTTCGTATATTTTATCTATTCTATTATTTGTATCTATTATCTTATTTTCCATTCTTTCTATTATCTTAATTTCCATTCTTTCTATACTTTCACTATAGTCTTTATTTTTATTATTATTTATTTCTTCTTTAATACCTCAACAATTATTGCATTAAATTTCTAGACAATTCTTACACTGATTTCTATTTTTGTGTCCTAAGTATATTCTGCATATTTTACATTTATCCATCATTGATCATTGTCCTCTAATTCATTCATGGATACATTCTTATTCTACATTTATCATCTTTATATCTAAAACTGAAAAATCTAGTTCTTCTAAATTATAATAACTGTCTTTAGAATTATTTGTTATTTCTAAATTATCTAACTCTTCATCTGTGTAAATACTATATGTTAAATTGCAAGATTCATTATCAGATAATTCTATTATGTTACATTGATTTTCTATAATTAGAGATTTAGCTGCATTTTCTTTATTTTTATATTTATTTGGGCATTTGTTAGCAAAATGTCTAGAGTCTCCACAAATATAACATTTACAGTCTTTTTTAGTTTTTGGTTTTCTTACATATATATTAGAATTGGGTTTTTTATTTTCATAGTATGTCCTACTTGGTCTAATATTATATTTGTTTTTATTTTGATATTGCTTTTTATATTTTGTTTTTTATCTTTTTTATACAATTTTTTCTTTCTTCTTCTATAATCATATGTCTGTGTTGTATATAAATCTGAGCAAAAAGAATAATTTAATTTCTTTATTTGCTTTCTAGCTACTTCTTCTACACAATATTTTTTCAATTTATCAGTTATAAAATTTATAGTAGCACTTATAGTTATTTTCCTTGTTGGGTTTGACTTTACATCTTTTCTAATTTTATCATTCCACGGTGCTGGTATCTTTCTATATTATCTTTCAAGTATAGAGTAATTTAATGTTAATCTTGCTGTGCTTGCTAATCTTTCAAAATTTAACAAAAATGGTTCTATGTATTTCATATTACTAAGTGTTATCTCTACTGTGATCAGATCCTATAATTAATTCTTTAATAAAGCTTGTAAAATTTCTAGGATTATCTCCTCCGGCCATTCTTAATCTAATTTCATTTGGTTTTAGTCATTTTGTTGTAACGTATATATCTAAAGCAGTCTTTTCTAAATAAGTTTCTAAATAAACCCACATTTCTTCTACAGTCATTTGTATAGGTACACTGTTATATGCTCTAATTACAGAATTTTCCCATTTGGTTATAGTACTAGGTCTATCTTGTGATTTACAATTTTTTAACTCTAAGATTAATCCTCTATCGCTTGCTAACGGTAAATTACATCCTTCTTCCGTCTGTCTTTTTCCTATGCTTTTATATGTTTTATCAGTCCATTGAAAATCTCTTGCTGGGGGAAAATGATATTTACTTCCTATATCGTATTCTGTATTCATGGGTTCTTTTCTTTTTCCAAATTCTTGATCTATTTCCCTTTTAGCTCTCTTGCTATTTTCTTCCATCTTAGTTTCTATATCTACTTGATCTTTTTCTATTAACGTGATAGTTTCTATTTCTCTAGTTTTTCTAAGATTTATGTAATATTCCATATCTATATATCCAGATTCTTTTTTATCATCCTCGCTTTCATCTTCTTCACTTTCTTCATCTAAAGCATTAATTTCGTCTTCACTTTCGTAGTCTTCTATTTCAAAATATCCACATTCTCCTTCATTTTCTTCTTCACTATGCTATGTCTGTTCTGCTTGATAATTATAATTTTCAAATCTAATACTCAAAGTTCCATTACTATTTTTGTACATAACATTATTTTCTGGTACTAATATTGGTTTTTGTAGAAAATTTCTTAAGTTTCAATCTAATCCTGCATATGTTTCTGAAGAGAATTTCTTTGCTGTGATAGCCTTTATACATTTTTGTCCTAATAGTGTAATTATTTAATTATTTTCTAATTTATATAGTAGTACTATTTTCACTAAGTCTTCCTATGAATCCTGTGCAAATTAATAAATTATCCTCATCTCTTTTTATTTGATATCCTTTGCTTTTTATTCCTATTTTAATATCTTTATAGAAATTCTTTGTTCTAACTAAATAGTCTTGTGTGAAATATACTATTCCGCCTTTATTATTCATATCTAATTCTATGCTTCCTAATAATCCTTGTTATATATCAGTGAATCTGCTATCATTTAAACATACTAATACTTTAGCTCCTAAATTTTCTCTATGAAGTCATTTTACTCCTATTATTGTTAATCCTAAATGAGCCTGTTGAAGATTTTTAGTAACGATTTCTTTATAAGATTTTTTTCTATTAAATTTAGAGATACAAATTGATCTTCATGTGTACAGGAAACATATATTTCTCCATAATGCTGATATATTAAAGATTTGCTAAATAAATTTTCTTTTTTATATATGTCTAAAGCTTTTACTAATTTCAGTTTATTCTGTCTAAACATTTCTATTTGTTCTTCTATATCTTTTAAAAATTCTAATCTTGTTTCGGATTCTGTCTTTCTACTTAATGTTCCTAATAAATGACTACCTACTAATTTACTACTATTGACTACGATTTGTTTTACTTTATCCATTATGTATAGATCCACTTAGTTTTCGTAAATCTACTAGGTTCTTTAGTTTACCTAAATCTAGTTTTTCTTATTTATTTATTATATTATCTAAATCTTGTCTATTATTTGTCAACTTTTCTTTTTCTAATGATTTAACTATGCTTTCCAATTTTTCTAGGTTAGGACTAGATTCTGTTTCTCCTGAATTATTAGATTTTCTTTTTAATATTTCGGTATTTTGATTTTTAATATATTCTAGATTAGTTTCTAAAATCTTTATATTTTTTTTTATATTTTCTAATAAATTTCTATTCTTTTATTTGAATTATTCCTTTCTAAATTTTCTCCTAAATTTACAAGTAAGTCTACAATACTATTTAACTGTTTATATTCACTATGTAAAGTATGTCTAAATTTATTATCAAAATTACATATTAGAGAAGCTACTTCTAAGTTATCTTTTCTTTTATAGTTTCCTAAAATTTCTAAATTTAAATACTCGATTCTTTTCATAAACGATATAATTTTTGACTGTTATAGGCTCTGATACCAATTTTTACGTAAATCTTCCTACCAATTCTGGGATACCAATTAATTCTGAGATTCCAATTCTACGTAAATCTTTCTACCAAAAGTTTGAAAAAAATTTCTTTAATTAATATGAAAATAACTTGTTTTTCAAAATTTTCTCTTTCTAATAAATATGAAGAGGACTTTTTAATAAAGTCTTTCTCTAAAAATTTTTACACGTTTTGAAATACAAATTTCTTCTTATCAATAAATATTTCCCAGAGAAAGTCTACTAATTTGGTTAGATTTTCTACACTTAATTAATTTGTTTTAAAAAGTCTACACTTTAAATTACTACGACCAAGGGTATGTAAGTATATTTCCATTGTCTTTTCTACTAAAGGTCTATTGCTAAAAAAATGTCTAAATAGTTCTATTGAAATTTCTTTTATTATATTCTCTTATAATCTTTGCTCGTTGTTGTCTTTCTTTAAAATCTTTAGGATCTTCTATCAGGAGACTTTGACACTGAGAGATAGAGAGTTCAGTGATTTGTTTCTTGATCTGTAAAGAGGGGTCACCTCTATTTCTATCTAGAGCGGATAAAATATGGCTTCCTACAACGACTAATCTTCCTATTTCTTTATTTTCTAAACAAGTATTAATATATTCGTTAAAACTTTTCAATGAGCAAGTAAGCAAAGCAGTGCAATTTAAAGGAATAAAATATTAAAACTTTAAAACGATATGTTTGTAATGGTCTTTTAGTACTTTACCGTTCAGCAAATTAATTTCTTCATACTTTTTTTTAACTCTCTCTTAGCTTTTTTTTTGACCTTGTAAAGAAGGTTTAAGATTGTAACCAAAAAGATTGTCATCATGTTTAAAAAGATTTAAACAAACTCCTACTATTTTGGGACACAAATTAGCCAACTTAACTCAGAGGATTACTTTATCTTTTGACTACGGAATTCAGAATAAAAAGGTTGAGAGCATTAAAATTATATTCTTGAAACAGAAATAAAATATTATTTGTGAATAAATTAATTGCTTACTTGGTGTTTCCCCTTTTAGGCCTTGCCCGACAATTAACTAAAGTAAACGAAAATTATAAACAAGAGGAGATATGAAAAGAACTTACTTTAATTACGAAATCTTTGAATTTATAAGAATGTCTTTGAATTTACAAAGATGGTGGAGAAATTTTTTAGTACAAGTGATAGTATGCTTTTTCAGTGTGTTTTCTTTCGTGAGAGGTGTGTGTATTTATAGACGCTGGTACATCACGTCTATTATGTTAGTACTGTAAGTGTGGCATCAATAATTGAATAATACTGTGCAAACTTTACATGTGTGCGATCAAAAATCAAAGAAAAATAAATAATGTGCAATTCTCCATGTGAGTAATTAATGAATGAATTATTTGAAAAAATACTTCTGATAACTTTTGTCTTCACGCCTGACTTTTCTTGAAATATGAGAATCAACTTTGTAGAGAATCTTTGAAATATTTTTAAAGTTTTATCTTTACGCCTCTTCTTTTTGGCTTCCTTGTTTTGCTAATTATTTCTCCAATTTTCTATCTCGTCTTCATTTGTCCATCATTTTTGCTATGGCTTCTTCTAGTTTTGGATCCATCTCATTATCGTTGCCATCCGATATATAGGTTTCCTCTTCTGTTTTTGATAGGGTTTTTGTAAATTCTCCATTAGTCTCTTGAAACGCCATCAGATATAAATTCTTTTATTCAATATTTGGTATTAGAATTTTTTTGGTTTAGTTCTCATGGCAAGGTGCTCTTGACAGAAAATAATTTCGTTATTCCATTGTGCTATTAATCTGAAATCATTATTTTGAACTTCCATCATGATTGCGATTTCTGATATTCTTCTTTCATAATTAATCTGTCTAATTTTTATTTTAATATTCGTTCTTGAAGAGGGTCTAGATCTTTTGGTTCCTTCACAAATTAAAATACGATGATAAATGAATTGAACCGTTAAGGGATGGTCTTTTAACTGATCAAGAATCTATTTTAGTTTTGATGGAAAAAATAGGAAAAATCTGTTTAATATGTATGTAGTATCTATCATACCAAACTGTAAAGCTGGGTAAAAGAGGTTTTCTTCTTCAAAGATTGTATAATCAAAGGAAATTGTTGGATAATTGTGATTAAGAGAGGCTGAATTTTGGGCTGCATCGTATTTGGGACCATGTCTAAGGAAGTATCTATTTTCATTGTAATAGTAACTGAAAATTTGAGCAAAATCTAGAATTTCCTGTGCAATGGAATTTTTTATAGAACTTCGAATAATACTGGCGCAATCACCAATTTTCTGTTCTAATTTGATAAAATCTTTTCCTGTCCTGCAACTGTAGAATCTGTTAGTTCAATAAGTCATTCTATTTTATCAAAATAATTTCTACTTGTAGAGGCGATGTCTTTAGATTCAAAATAATTTCTATTATATATATAGATTCAAATGTAAAAATTATATACGTATGAAAGTATAATTCAATACAACCCAAAATAATTAAAAAAATATACGATACAACCTTAGTCTATAACTGTAAACTTAGATAATTGTATTCCACGAGATCTCATATTTTGAAAATGGTGCAAAAATGCTTCAATTAGAATTGATTAAAAAAAAAAAGTACCAAGTAAACACAAGTTGAATTGAGCCTAACATCTTCTTAATTAAAATTTTTCACTTATCCTAATTTTCTAAACATAAATTTTCAAATCAATAATCATAATTCATAAAGCATGTATTACTTATTATAAATCACAATCACAATTCTCTGCAATATGTAATAAATCACAAGTCACAAAACATAAATCATAGTTCATAACTCATTATTTATCAAAACATAAATCATAGTTCATAACTCATTATTTATAAGACTAATAACAATTAACACAATTTACAGACAACAGGTCACAACATTCATTATTCAACAAATCAAGTACAAATAGTCAACAAAACAAAAAAAGAAAAAGAAACAGCAACAAAATATAAAAAAACAAAAGCAAAAAGAAAGAGAGAAATAGAGTAAGAGAAGAAATGCGCTCACATCACAGTCACGGCACTCACCAGGCATTGCGAAGGCCGGAGGCTGCTAGTCGTAAGTTGAGCTCAAATATTCTGATTTCTGAGACCACTGGTCCACTGACCACCAGAACAGGAACCTCAGAAGGGAGGAATGACAGTCGACAGACACGTCATTGGCGACGTGGTCTCAGCTTCAGAATGAAAATGCTGAATGAGAATGGAATTAGGAAAGGAAAAAAAGGGTTTGCAGCAGGCTTTCGGCTTCTAGGAATGAGAAATTGGGGATTGATTTCACGATTTGGTAATTTGGAGTTTGGACCATCGTTGATTTGGGGGAAAAGAGAATTGGTTGGGCCTAATGTTTTTAATCAAAAAAAGGCCCAATAAGTCAGGGACAATGTTAATTCAGGCATCAACCAAAAAAATAAAAAATAAAAAAATTGGGTCTTCTTCTTCCTTCCATCTTCATTCAGATTCTTCCTGCCTCCATCTCGCTCGGCGGTGCCCGTTGGTACTGAACATTCCGACGGAGCCAGCAAATACGACCGCACCCTCTCGCCGGGTACTGGCTTCGCGCCTATTGCCAAGAAGTGTTACGTTTCCAACATCCTCCCGCAAAATGTGCTGGGCTGAAAGCATAGTTTGGTTTGAAAAATTAAGAGCTGCAATGAATATTTATTTGATGAAGAAGCCAACAATGATTTTTATCTTCATTCTAGTGAAGATATGTCACCTGTGTATATATGCATTTCTAGTTCTTCCCATATTGCATGGATTGTGTCTAAGCCTATAATGAGTCCAAATGTTTCTTCAAACTGTTGTGACGATCTAACCATGAATGAGATTATCGGACTTTCATCCGGCAATGAATTCATTTGTTAATTTTGGTGTGAATTTTTTTGTGCATAATTAAATAAGTTCAACAACTCTCCATTATTATTGTAGCTAATGTTTATCCAAAAAATAGATAATAACTATCAAATAATAAATTAACAACTTTGCATTTATCTTTTTGTTTGCATTTGACAATTTTATCACTCCAAGATTTTCTGATCTCCTTATCACTTATTTGATCCTCATCAATTCTGTTGTCAAGTAGTGTGACATTTCTAACACCACCGTGTATTGAAACTAGCAGCATTAAGTCATTGCAGGAGATTTATTCTCCTCACGTTTGAGAAATGATTCATGTTCCACAAGTTTGTTATGAAGTTCCTCAAAACTTATGACAATGTCTAATGCTCTCACAGCAGCAGCCAGTTCCTTAAATTCTGGTCCAACTCCATTCAAGACATGAAGAATGAGATTGGGATTTGGTATTGGTGAGCCAATAATAACCAGTTCATCAGCGAGACTTCTAATGCGACCAAGATATGCAGTGACAGATCGTGTGCCTCGACTTTCGGAGAGTTGGTCTGAAAGTCTCATGACTTGGGACGATGATGAATTGGGATAGCACTTTGTGAATCGATTCCATGCTTCAATTCAAGTCTTTGAAGAACTAGCCAAAGGAATTACTGATTCTGAGAGGAAGGAAATAATACAATGGAAAAGAATTTTGCTCTCTGCCATAGAATAAAGTCAGGATACGGGATTGCCTTTTCGTCAATTAACACTTCTGCAGATGGACAAGATTTAGTTCCGTTGATAAAACTTAACAGATCATAACGAAATAGCAGTGAGTCAAACTGGGCCTTCCAAGAGAAATAATTTGAAGCAGTCAATTTTACCGGAAATTTGGTTGAGTTTAGAACAATCAGATTATTTAGGCTGGGTGTGTTCATAATGTTGGACTGACTGACAATAAAAATGTTGGTGCTTTTTGCCATGATCAGAAAAGCTTTAACATTTCAGGATCTTGTAGGGACTCGGAGCTCAGCTACGCTGTGATACCATAAAAGGGCTGAAACAAACTTTTACAAAGAGGTAAAGATTGATTTCATTCATGTGTAGTAATTTATACACAACTATGCAAATCAGGAAAGGAAATACAATCATACAGATTAAATGAAATAAAATAATTGATATGTACAGACAGTGAATCATGGTGATTGTGCAAGATTTGGGGATGATGATGAGTTAATCAAGGTGGTTTTGCAGGATATGGGGATGATGTTTCCTTGTACTACTCTAGAACCTTAAAAATATATCGAAAGTTATGCTGAGTGGATTTGTTGAGAACATAAGCAGATACGAAAATCAAACTAGTTATCCAATTATTTTCATGTTATTTCTCTCTTATCTAGCTAATGACTTTTCAATCCTTTCTGGCTTCTCCAAGAAGAGGGAAAGCAAAGCTTTCAAAGTTGGTCACTCTTCAATTCCCATTAAATCAAACTACTGGAACATTAGACAGATAGTGCTAACAAAAATAAATTAAATGGTTAAAAAAGTTAATACTAAATTAGAGAAGAATAAAAGGTACAAGTAATAAATATAAAAAAGTTATTTATTTATCTTTATTTAATTTTCATTTAGTAAAAAAATTGATAAAAGCGAACGTAGTTAGGTACTTACTGAAATGAGAAATTTCATCAAAATCTGCTAGAAAACGAAACTTCCAAACATCGAAGTTCAACACCTTTGTAAACTAAAATTTTGTTGTCATGAATAAAAAGTATATCTGAAGCTTGAATTTTCAAGCTGAGATACTTTATTAAGAACACCTTTCCAAACTAATCGAGCTTAATGTTGAAAGTAGTGTAAACTTGACCAATGAAATTCTAGAAATACGAAGAAGTTCAAAATCATCAAGAAGTTTTAGAAGATTGAAGATGAATATATGACTTAGTCAAAGTTCTACTTGATTAAGCAAAAGTGTTTTATTGGATAGAAGAATATTACATAGTTAAGGAAAAGCTCGTGATTAGTCGAATGATATGACCCAGGAGTCGAGCCCGACGAAATCAAGTGCAAGACGAGACTCGTTGATAGTCGATGGCGGACCGATGACGCGATTGAAGATAAGATGAGTCAACGAGGCGATAGGATTCCTCGTCAAGGCAACGATTGAAGATACCATGTTCGGGACTCAAAATGGAGCAACTTTCATGTTCGGGTCGAAGGTCGAAATCGGAGGAAAATTTTAAGGCTGTTCGATTTTAAGCCTGTGCGGTCGCACAGGCATACACGGTCGCGGTCGCATGGTGGACTACCGAAACTCAAAGAAGGCATTTTGTTTGAACCATGCGATCGCATGGAATTGCACGTTGCGGT